ACAAAGAGAAACATCGGGGAAGACGTTGAGTATCTGAGGAAGTTGTTGATGATTTGAGACGACTTGAGCAGAATCGGCAAACATCTTTGACAAAATTTCCTCTGCAGTCAAGAGTTTCTGTTGCAACATGAAATTGAACAATGGGCCTTAAACAAAATGGTGAACATTTTCAAGATTAACTGTGATGTTTAACCGCAATAAATTTGTTTCTTTTTATTGTAATGAATTGTAAAATACACAAAAAAGGATGAAAGTTAGAATATTAAAACTATAGAGGCACATTGTGTGGTCCACAAAATAAATACGGACGTGTATAAAAAATCGAATAGCAGCACAGATCGAGAGTAGTATAGGAGAATATCAGTGTGGTTTTAGAGAAAGTAGATCCGTAATAGACCAAATTTTTGCGCTACGCCAAATCCAGGCTGAAAGCTACGACAACAAGCTCAAGACACATGTAATGTTTGTGGATTTTAAGCAGGCGTACGATAAAGAGAGCAGGTACACCAGTCATCATAGGGGTAGAGAACAAACTAATTAGATTAGTATGAAGAGTCCAGAGAATTTCATGTAAAATAGGCTTTGAGGCAAGGGGACCCCCTGTCGCCATTCGTCAATGCTATTCAATACGAAGGTACCGGGTATGAGTGAAGAGATAGCAACTAGGTTATCCCAGGGAAATAGGTGCCTATACTCGCTAAACAGTATCCTAGCGACTACTAATATTTCGAAAGCCACCAAAGTCAGAATATATAAGACAATAATAAGACCGATAGTTATTTACGGGAGTGTGGTATGGGTGATGGGAGTTGAGGAGGAATAAATGCTAGGTGTGTGTGAACGAAACGTGCTCCAAAAAATTTTTGGGGACAAAAAGGTGGAAGGAATATGGCAGAGGAGAACGAACGTGGAGTTATACAATTTGTATAATGATAGGATGGATAAAAACCGAAGTCCATTCAAGTTGTTAGAGAGCCATATAGGGAGACGTAAGAGGCACTTTAAGCAAACCTTGATACAATTCAATTATGAAACATTTTTCATAATTCAGGCTCAAGTGGAATCGGCATTATGCGTTGCCTAGTTTAAAAACACAAATGGGTCATCTTAGCTGAATAACCCTGTATATTTAGTCATCTTGATCCCAATGTTAATATCTGTGATACTTATTTTTGTGATACATCCTTAGTTTTAAGTTTTATTCATATTACTTATGATGATATTTTGGAACAAGTGGAATCCTCTAATAATTCCAGTGACCCAGGACCAGATGGTATTCCTGCGATCTTTCTTAAAAATTGTCTATTTGCTCTAATTACTCCACTACAAATAATGTTCTACAAATCATTGTCCTTATCTGTATTTCCAGATTTTTGGAAAAAAATTGTCATGGAAATACTAGCTCTAAAAATATCATTAGTAATTATCGTGGTGTGTTTAAATTACCGTTTATTCCTAAGATATTTGATGAAATTGTTGCAGATATTTTATTTGCTACTGTAAAATAAACTATTGTAGGTGAGCAAAATGTTTTTTCAGTGGGAGATCAACTACCACTAATTTATTTCTATTCACGGAATTTCACACAAGTATGAATGAGCTGGGATCTGAATTATATTGTATATGTATTTACTGATGTTGGCAAAGCATTCGATTCAGTCAACATTAAACATTTATTGGATAAATTAAAACTATTTGGTATCTACGATCCTTTGCTTGGATGGATGGAATGCTATTTGTCAAATCGTAAGTTACAGGCAGAATTTAATGGTACATTATCTAAATCAATTGACGCAAGTTTTGGTGTTCCACACGGTTCCCATTTGGGGCCTATCCTTTTCATCCATATGTTAACGACGTAAAACATGTATTTCAAAATAGTCATTCTTTACTTGATTATATTTTAGTTCCAAAAGACTTGAAAATATGGTGTTCACATAGTAGTCTTAAGCTAAACAGGCAAAAATGTAAATTTATGAGGTTTTCTAGGAACGTTGTTAAAGGATCTGATTTCAAGTATAATATTCTGTCAATAAAGTATTATTATGATCATTTTAGTACTTTGAGACGGTTGAAAGATCGCACATAAATTTGGTCCTTTGAGCCGGATGACCGCGTCTAATAATCCTAATTTCAAAAATAAAACGTAAATCTAATAAAGCTAAAAGGCATATTATGTATATATTTAGCCTTTTTATCTTAATGTACATGTTTTTATTGTTAAAAGATGGTTATGTATATTAAGAAAAAAAAAAGGCAAAATATAAGCCCTGCCCACCCGCTCTATCTTAATTCCGATGATTTTTTTATTCGTCGTAAGCCGAGAGGCGGATCCTAATTGCAAAATCCATAATGCCTTGGAAAAATTTACTATTGGAAACGTGTTTTATCTTTCTAAGAATGAAAAAAATCATCACAATTGAGATGGGGTGGGTGGGCGAGGTCTGTATTTAGCCTTTTTTTCTTAATGTACATGTTTTTTTTTTGTTGTGAAAAGATGGCTATGTACATGTTAAGAAAAAAAAAGACAAAATATAAGCCCCGCCCACCCGCCCTATCTTAATTCCGATGATTTTTTTATTCGTCGTAAGCCGAGAGCCGGATCCTTATTGCAAAATTCATAATGCGTTATAAAAATCTACTATTTTAAACGTGTTTTAAGTTTCTAAGAATAAAAAAAATCATCACAATTGAGATGGGGTGGGTGGGCGGGGTCTATATTTTACCTTGTTTTCTTAATATTCATTGTATTTTTTTAACAAGACGATACTCAAGAACATATTTTTAATTTCTTGTAAAGGAACAAATATTTTGCCGATAAGCTCCGCCCACTTGATTCACAACGAATAAAAAAATCATCACAATTGAGATAGGGCGGGTGGGCGGGCTTATATTTTGCTTTTTTGTTTTAATATATGTCGACTTCTTTTCACAACATGAAACTTAAAACATGTTCAAAATGGAAAATTTGTATACGGAAATATCAATCTTGTAATTAAGCTGCGCCCCATAATTGCAAAATCTATATTTCCTTGCAAAAATGTACCATTTTAATCATGTTCTAAGTTTCTTGTTGTGAAAAGATGGTTATGTATGTTAAGAAAACAAAGGCAAAATATAGAGTGCTTTACTTAAAAAAAAATAAGTTATCTGCTGCCCTTCAAAAATAAAACACTCTTAGTTGAAAATAAGCTGTTCAAAAAAACCGTACATTTTGAATTTTTCTTATCTCTAATATAATGAGAGATACTGATGACCGTGCGCTATATTTTGGGATGTTTTCCTGAATTTTGCATATTAAATCCAACTGCTTTGAACATGCAGTCACTTCGCTGTAACCTTCATGGTCGCAAAATTTTTAGAAATGCTAGACACTTGTACGAGAAATGTCGAAAAACCAAACCAAAAATTTTAGTCTAATAATTCCACTCAAGTGAGTGGTATTAGCTTTCAAATTTAAAAATTATTAAAAAAATTAATTCTCTTGTAATATCAATCACTCGACAAAGAGTAAATACCTAAAACAAAAAACCATTCGTATTAAAAAGAAAAATACAGTCCTTCATAAAGGCGCCCTCGTTAAACCATGTCGAAACTCCCTCACACAAAAGTGTGAGTTGAAACAAAACATGGCCACTGTTGTTCTCCCATCCCATTCATTTACCTAACAAAACAAACTCTTAATTACTTTCTTACAATGGTATCGGCACCCGTTCAAATGTCGGCTCAATTGCACAACCTTGCATTTAACCTGAAGCCGACCTTTTAACAGATTGAAACACATGTAGTCATTACTGACATCAGTGCTAACCATCTAGTTGTTCCTTCCTTCCCAGGCAAGCACCCACACGACCAAACAATTGTAACCGTAATTTAATGGTCTATCAAAAAAAAAAAATAATAAGTTGCGTCATATTTGCAGTGTACTAAATTAAACTTCTTCTTTTAAGCTAAAAGCAATGGCGTGTACCGAATTTCAATACTTTTATCCGTTCTCATAGTAAAACGAAAAATAATAATCTAACTGGTTTAATAATAATAATAATGATGTTTTCATTAGGGGAATTTGAGAATACAGACTTATATTTTGTACAATATAATATGCCAAGGTCCTTAAATTTATATCTTCTTCACAGGGTTATGAAATGACATTTGAAAAGGAAGTGTCGCGTTTGCCGAGCAAAAACACTGGGGAGCAAACTTTTTTCAAACAGTTGTGGGGTTTTATCGAGAATCACATTTATCCATCCTCCGACGAAGCTTGAGCTCATTACAATACACCAGATAATGGAAACACAGTAATTTCCTGCTGCCAACGACGGCATTGTAAAATTCGATTGCAGGAAACGTTAAGACTTTAATTATATGGACGTCCAACATTATATTCGTGAAAAAACGAGCAGCTGCATAAAAGAGGGAAATATTTTGCTAGAGGATCATGCTCGTGTCCACACAAGTGAGCTTTCTCTCGACAGTCTATTTTTGTAAGATCAATCACCAAACAAAGCGTAAACAAAACAAAAAACCACCACATTAAAAAGAAAAAAATTAGCCGCGAATTTTTGAATTCCTGTCGTATTTCTTCTTTCGCACAGAAGTCCCTCCGGTCGAAACAAACCATCGCCAGCACCGTTCCCGACCCCATTCATCTACCCAACAAAACAAACTTTTACTTTCGTACAAAGGTATCGGCAGCTATTCTTATCTCGACTCAATTGCACAACCTTGCATTAACCTGAAGGCGACCTTTTAACAAATCGAAACACGTGTAGTCATCCGCCAACATCACTGCTACCCGTCTAGTAGCACTTCCCCAGACAACCACCCACCGACTTAAACCCGGGACCCAAACAAACCGCAGGTAAACCAAAACCACCGCAAATGAAATGAATAGAAAGAACGTTAACAATCGACCCGGACTATGAATAGTGACGTAGTTCCGGGGCCAATCGAAGCGCTGCGCTGCACAGGACCCCACTCAGACTGGCGGCCGTAAAACCGGCAAAACGCGCGGGGACTACGCCATTAGCCGTTCGAATCTCGTTAAGAGAGTGCGTGAACCCCTCTCGTCCAACGAAAATCGTTACAGTGTTTTGTCGACACTAGTGTGAGGTGCGAATAAATAGTACAGGTGACCCATATCTTTTGATTTTTGGATTTTTTGCCACCCACGACAGCCAGGATTTCGCTCGGGGTACCGTTTAAAGGGAAGGTAAGGAAAACGCGCCAAAAGTGACCAGTGTGAGTTCGGAGTCGAGAGTGACCAAGTCCGCACGTGCTGCGAGTTTGCAACCTTCATGCAACTGATCGGTGATAGCGTAATCAGCGAAAAGTCGTCACTCATCCACTGACCCAAAAATTTTGACGGACGGTAATGCACGAAATTGGGAGCATTGTCAACAAACATGATCGAGGAGTGTTGTCTTGCGTGGAGGTTAATGTATAAGGGCTAAATTAAAACTGGCCCTGTGGCTTCTTCTGGTTCGGGAGTGCGGCCCCTTTGCGGCATGGTCTAATCATAGGTTGCCTAGTAATTGCCGACTTGTAACCAAAAAAATAAGATAAATCGAGATTATCTAAGAGAAGACTATAATCAAAATTTTTGCACTGACGGATGGTGGAAAGACGAAAGTGGTATATTTTGGGCAACCTGTGTAAAAATTGTTTCGCATAAGTATAATCAAGGCGTTGCCTCGTAAGTCTTGTTAGTTCCCAGAGGTCAAATCTTCCGCATTTTTATGAGTCTCTTTAAATCGAAAAGCAAAGAGAAATTTCGTTGAACGCAATTTCTCCGCGTAATATGATTAACACACTAAACAAAGTCAAGAGTCAATCTTGGTGCAAAACTGCAGATTGACTGAAGATCGCAACCGAAAATATTTTTCTGCCAAGTTGGTTAATGGAAAGTCCTGTCCTAGACTAGGATAGGGTGAGATATATCGAATAAGTTACCCACGGTGGAGTTCGGCCATTAACTTAATTAAATCGAGAATTTGTATATGGAAGTTCAGTATATTTTAGTACGGTTTTGAAAAGATGTGTCGGGCGAATATTGATCAAAGACCGACCTTTCTGATTATCGTTTAAATTAAATTTCTCTGCGAATTAATCATCATATTAGCACCTATTTGTTTAAAAACCCACCTTGATCCAACTTCAAGACGAAATAACAATTTTGTTGAAGTCGTTGAGTTTTGTGCAAACAAAGTTTCAAGGTTTCCTTTTGTTTTGTTTTGTAATTAATGACAAGATTTAGAACTCGATGGAACTTAAATTGTTTCAAAAAGTCGTCGACTAAGATTACTATCGCTTATTTTGCCCAGGAAAGGTTTTTATAAGTGGAACGCGATAACCTTTTTGACAATTCGTTTTTTTTATCACAAAAAACAAAAAGGTCAGTCTTCATTAATGCTGTGGGCGTGTTGGGTTCCAATAAAAAATGTTGATCCAAACACATCCATGACATTAATAAATTCTCTCTTTTTTTGCAAGCCAGGAACCCGGCGATATTTTTTTCATTTTTACTGTTTTTTTTTGTGCAGTTATTGATGGCATTTTTTATTTATTATTTATATTTCCGCAACGAAATATTTTGCCTTTGGCAATATTAGTTTGTAGACTGGATAATCATATCTTGATGATAAAAATGATAAATACATGTTAAATTTTGATCAGTGAATCCTACTGGAGATGCGGAAATGAATTTCTTCATATATAAGAAAATTTGGAAATTCATTATAAACATTCAAAGTCTTGATTAAAATTTATCGACTGTAATTACAAAAGAGCTATAACTGAAAACACACTATAAATTATTTTAGGACTTGAACAGGAACTGGAAGGAATTTGACAAATTTGACATTTTGCAGTCAATTCTAGAAACTACGTAATCCCCACCAAAATTCTAATGACGTCAGCTCAAAAGTTTGCTAGTAAACGCTCTTTAAAATTTCCAAAAGACGATACAGTCTAGACGTGTGGTTTATTGATCCATCCATATTTTGGCGGCGTTGTGGTGAGGAAACCAGAACTTTACATCAAATAAAGAAAAGCAGTCGCATTCAAATGCAATTCGTGTCCGTGTTTATGATTAAACCAACATTTTAGATTCATGATTTCCACTAAATTTAGCCAATATTAAGCATTACGTTGAAAGTTAACCGCAGCTTTCGTGACTCATCAAAACACTATAAGGTGTATCCTGCGTGAAAAGTGAACGGATACGTCAAACATTATTTGGACGTGACGTAAAAATACGTCGATGTTTCAAGGGTTCGGTTCGATTCCACATTCCATTTCTGTCCTCGTCTTCGCCTTCCACCAACATCCACGTTAGCCAATAATCGTAGTCCTCTTAATTCCTGGATTTCGTTTGGGAAATATTCGCACCCCTGATTCACACGTAGTGATCGAACATTACAGCCTCCTCCACCATTGTGCGTTTCTAACCTTCGACCAAATATTTGACCCATCTGTGATCCCTCTTTTGTACAAATCCCCCATTTCGCTGACCCGCCTTCCAAATCCCACGGGATGCGAGTCAGTTTATTTACAAAAAATATTTATTTATGCGATTCAAGTTTATTGATAAAAATGATTATTCATAAACTGCGTCTGACTCCAACTTCAAGGGAATCAGCTGCGTGTTTATTTAATCACTGTGAATAGCGTCATGCAGAATGTTTTTAAAAACTGAGTAAATCGTGAATTGGTTGTTTTTTACAAGAGTTTGACCCATTTAATTACGAAACATCACTATTCACATGTTTGTCGTAAACCTGACACTTTGATTAACTGATTATGATGTTCTCCCAGCCGGGCAGTATTCGGAGTCGGCGAGCCGTCTGATAAACCTAAACAAGTTTAACGCTTACCACGACCTACTTTTAACGTAATCTTATCATAATTAACGCGTACGAAAGTTAAAACGAAACTTAATTTCTGGATTCCCCTCGTATTTCACAAGCTCGCTCGTCGCAGATAAAGCTGCGTTCACACCTGATACACGTCAGACGCAATAAATTCCAACCACATTGTTTCAATTACTCCCCGTCAAACGAAGACATGCAGATTTCTATTTCCGACTGATTAACCGAGCTAATTGGTTCGACACCGGTGTTTTCAGGCTGCAATTTTCAGTCCTCTTATCTCGAGTGAAACGTGCATTATTCAGCGAGAGTCGGATTAGATAGTAGGCGCCAGTTCGCCATATCCGGAAGAAAATCTCCAGACGCGGATTGTGCAAACGTGAAAAATTATCGAGTCGACCGGAAAAATCCGGCGCATTGTTTGAAGAGATGTTATCCTAGCATCCGGATTAATAAGTGCAGTAGATTGTAAGATAACGTCGGCCGGACGTTGATTAATTAAGGTTTGGTTGGGAGCACAGACGGCGTTGTTTTAAAAGTTTAACGGATGAATTTGGTGTTTTGGAGTGATAAATTAACTGCGTTCGCGATTTAATATAAAGATAAAGCGAAAAGTTAACGCTAGGGCGAGCCGCCACCCTACGCAGTGTTGGGTAACGAGTAGTTCTGGAACTTAACGGCGATGAAGAAGGTCTTGGTGTCATTAGTCCAAATCGGTTCAATTCAGCTTTTTTCACTTTTGATTTGCATAACTTGTTCTTTATTGTCATATTGTTACAAAACCGATTATATTAGCATGTTTTAATTAACCGAAATGGATTTTTTTTCAATGGGTCGAAACCGGCCTTTACACAACGTTAGGAAAACATTGAATTAGGAGTAATTAAAAGTGAGTCGCCGTTGAATAACTGGTAGAATGTTAATTTTTCGGATTTTACAATTTTTATGACGCTCGAACAGGTATTTGTTCTGACCCCACAACATCGAATTTGCATATTACAGAATTACAATGAAGTGGAGGATTATATGCATCAGTACAAACAATTCCAATAAATGATTACGGAAATGTGTATGGTTATCTAAATAATGTCAATATAGCAAGTAAATAATGGACGCTGACACTGATTTTTGTAAACAATGATCTGTTTGCAACTCCATTCATTTTTATTGTTTCGTGTTTTTTATTTATCGCACGATTATGGGACAACGCAATTATTTCTAGTCACACTTTGTTTTTGAAAAGTTTTTTTTTCAGTTCCCGGATTTTTAATTTGTTTACCCCATTTACACAAGACACACTAAACGTTTTGTGTTTCGCTATTGTTATTCCGATGGGGTGACGTCATTGGTTTATTTTTTCTACTACGCTATCTGTTGTTTTATGTGTAAATAAATAAATAAACGGGTTTCTATTAACAAAACAAACATAGGGAGAAAATATAAATATAAAATTTGCATAAGTAATAATTAATAATGGACCTAAGACTGAGCCTTGAGGTACGCTAAGAGTTTATTATTTAATGTGACGTTTTCATAACCAATGAAGAAATAAGAACTAAATGGCAAATTTAGCGTTTTAATGCCCAATTATCTGAAAAACTTCGTAGAAAAATAAGTACAATATTTTAGAGGACATAGAAACGTAACAATGACGAAGATAAATGAATCAAAGGTAAAATAGATAAAAGATTAGGTGATCGGACTTATCCACGTTCAATTTCTTCTTTAAATAATATAGTCCGGAAAAGACAGAAGATACCGACTGAAAGTAATGATTAATATTATCCGGTTTGAGCACATGATCCGGAATACAGGTCGAGGCTTGATTTTGAAGACCTAGTTTTGTTGACCACAATTGTTTATTATAAAAATTATTTTGAAGCAATGACAAATAAATAACTTTTAGATTGACGAATTACAACAAATCTACAATTGATCTTTTTTCGCCAAAACCACTACGTTATACCGGGTGTCCCAGCTTACCTCCACTCAAATGTCTCAATTATTTTAAAGCATACAAATTTGAACTTTGGCATGTTTAATATATGTAATACTCCTACAATCTATTACCTAAATGAATACACTATTGGCATCGTATTAGCTTCAGTTTTACCGGAAGTGACATCAACTTTTTTTCTAAATCTCAAAGAGTGCAATTTGTAGTAATTAAATAGAAATAAAAGCAGTCCTTTAAATGAGAACAGCATGGGTAAGGGGGGGCGGGGTTCGTACTTGCTAAGATAAGACTAATTTTGGCAAATGACATCCTTTAAGAAAATAGAGGGCGGGTGGGCGGGGCAACTACTTACTAAAATAGGACTGAACAATGTTAACAGTAGTCACT